AGGACCCGACGCGCCCGCGCCGCCCCCGCCCCGGCCCCGCGCGCTGACCTCACCCCGCCGCGCACCCCGCGCCCCCATTGGCGGGCGTCACGTCCGGGGGGGCGGGGCTTCCGCCGCGCCCRTTCATAACCCGGCGGGCGGGGGGCGCCGCTGCTGGGGCGGCGTTGGGGTTTGTGTCCGGCGGTGTCGGGACCGGAGCGCCMGGGGTCCCCTTAGGGGGTGACATCCAGCGAGTTCCGCCTCGGGGGCTCCTTCGCCCATTGCCCGGCCCACTTCCCCTCCACCCSCCACCGCCAGTGCAGCCCTCAGCCCCCGGCCGGGGGTGCCGCGACCCCGTTCTGTGCCGGCGCCGCCGCTGCCGCCCCCTGCCGAGCGCGGCGCCGCTATGCTGGAGCCGCCCCGAGGGAACAGACCCAAAACCGGGGCTGGGACCCAAAAACCCAGTTACGAGGCCCCTGGTGACTAGCGTTCTGTGGTGCAGGGCTGGGGACCTTGGCCACGGTCCCTTTCCCCGGCAGGGAAGGCTTAGAGAGGCGTGGCCGTGGCTCCGCTGCCCGCGCTGGGGCTGCCCTCGGGCCCCGAAGCACCGGGGGCTCCCGCTGTGTCCGGCCGGGATGCGGTGTGGTCGGGAGCAGGCCCTGCGCACCGCTGAGGCGGCTCCGCGGGGCTAGCAGACAGCAAAACGATGCTGATTAACGGGTGGTCCGTATGGAGCTGCCCAAGCACCCAGCCATCCGTGCAGCTMTATGCTTGAGCTTAACCTCATCCACTCCTTGACTCTATTCAGTTCCATCCCAGCAGCTGTGTTCTGGGTGCGCCCTCATCACTCAGGCTGGACCGTCTGTGTGGTGAACCCAGGCTGGAGGGGGTGGCAGGAGCACTGCTGGGGCCCCCAACGTGTTTTGGTACCCACAGTGCTGAAAGGGATGATTGCAGCGCTGATTAATGTATCTGTTTCAGTCCTGCTAGCTCAGCACATAATGGTGGAGAAATTACTTGGGATGGGCTTCAAGGTGCTTGTCCCCACATGCCCCTGTCCCTACGTGCTTTCCGTGTCACTCATATCCAGCATTAAAACTGTTAACAGGCTTGCTTTCCCTGGGTGAGCAGTCGTCCTCTCCAGCTGCCAGAAATCGAGGGGTCTTACACCACCAGAGGGACAGATACACCACATCAGCCAAAAGCTTCCCCATTCCTGTTCTCTCCGTGCATGTCCCAGGAATGAGAGAGGTTGCTATTGTGTCCTTTCCTCTTCTCCCGGTGCTGATGGCGAGTTGAGAAGGAGAAATGCATGGTAATGTGCATGAAGACAGCATCTCTTCAGAAAAYGTGGTGAGAGCCTGCTACGGAAGGGTGCATTACTGATTTAAAAAAAGAAGGGTCAGTCCTGTGGYTATAGCCAAGAGAAGACAATTTCCTTCTAAAATAATTTGAATGTAGGGAGGGCTGTTGCAGGAAGAAGTTGGGAATAATAACAAAAGGGCAGATTCTGAGAACAAAGTTGTGTCTGTGGCTGGTGTAGATTTAGGTACAGGGGCAGAAATTTTGGACAATGCTCCAATAGTGGGGAAATGTGATTAAATACTAATCTATTCGTTAACCCTGTAGTCCTTCTCTGAAACATTTGTCACAGCCCACATACCAGAACTGGGATGCTGTTCAGGAAAAAAGAGGTCAGYTTCTTGAAAGGTGAACCAAGGCAGCTCACAGAGGCACCTTCTGTCAGGCACTGAAAGGTGGAATCCCATTACTGCAAATTTGCTCTGCAAATTAAGCCTCTGGGGACCAGTTTCAAACAGAAAAGGAAGGCTGTGAGCTTTGCTGCCTGTGCCAAGGATGGTAGCTGTCGCGAATAGATTTTGAGGATGGGGTGCTGGTGAGCCTGTGGTACCATAGTGCTGTTCCCTGCAACAGGGAAGTGTAGGAGGGAAGTGAAAGCTGTGGGTTTCCAGCTGAGTTGCCCTGCACTTGAGGTAGCCACACTTTTGCCCACTTCACAGCACCAGTGTATACTTTAGGTTTGAAATATGTGGGTCTGGAAAAAGGTGATGAGATTGTCATTTTAGACCACAAAATCTAAACCTTTACAGATGACTGYTAGCAGGTTTTATGTGTAGGATTCCTGAGTTACAGTATGATTGCTTCAGAAAGATCTGGGTCCCATTGTGCCAGACAAGACTTACTTCAGGAGATGTATGTGTGCCTGTAACTGCAGAGAGAGTGCCATGGTGATCAGCTGCCTTTGGGAAGACCCTTCTAAACCAGCCATCACCCACTGTTTATAATTTTCCTATGTCACAGACTGAACTCAGCCTGTCTCCAGCCAACTTCATTGCTGCTGCTCAGCCTGTGGGCAGCRTGGCAGGAATCACACAGCCAGCCTTCAGCTCTTTGTGTGGAGAGTTACCTGCAGCCTGGGCAGGCACTGGAGGCAGAGCACTCCAGAAATGGAAGCCTATCTTTCTCTGCCTGCATCTGCTACCAGGCAGGTAGATGGTGGAGCAGAAACCAGTGTGTAATAGAAATTTTGCCTGAAGACAAGGAGGAATCAGTGGCAAAGAGGTATTTCAGTGTATCCATGTGGAAAGAGCATGAGTCACCAACCCCAGGTTTGCTCTGGCCACTGCTGCCTGCTAAGGGTCTGCAAGTTTGCAGGTGGCTTTTGACCCTGGTTCATTACCCTTTGCACTCTTCCAAATAATTTATATCTTCATGTGGCTGGCACTTGTCTGGRAATCTGTCCAAACCTTTAAATGAAAGGCCAGGAGAGGGAATTGGTTTTCTATTTCTGATTTTGCAACTTAACACCTGCCCAATCTGTGACAAGTCACTTGGGGACTTGTTCTTAGAGAGGTAGATTAGTGTGGACTCCTCATTTTGGGTCTCTTTTGGTGTCCAGCTGTAGCTTTAGATGCCTTCAAAATTTAATTCCTGAGAGTTCCTGGCTCAGCTGTCACTTAAATCTGGAGGTACCTTCCACTTTTTTTGATGTGAAAAATTTCATACTGCTTCACACACTTGGATGCACATTACTTTTGATGCTGTTGAGTAATGTCTTTAACTGATCCACTGGTCCACTGGGCATTAGATATTTCTCCTTCCACAGGGTTCAAACCTGAACACAGAACCTTGCTTCTGGCACTGAAATTCACTCAAAAGCATAGGAGAAAAATACTCTCACTCTCACCTGTCACTATCCCCTTTCTTTTTTCAATCTGGTAACTCTGTGCTTAGAAGTGTTTGCCTAAGTAGGAGACCTAGAATCACCCTCACACTTTCCAGGAGAGCATCCTCTCTGAGTGGGTGGAGTGGGACTCCCCTCCTCAGACTGGCTTGTTATAGATAACTACCTGGGGTAATCACTCTATTAGACTACCTGTGGGTCTCACATTTCTAGCTAAATGGGATTGATAATGTTTTCCTGGCTAATAGGACAGCATGCATGCTGATTTATCACCACTGTCAAGTGTGTCAAGATCCTTGGGGAAAAGGGATAAAAATACAATGGAGCTAAGATGTCTGAAAGGGCTTGTTGACAGGCACATATGTAGTTAAAAATTGTTATTCTGTTCCTTGATTAGCTCAAACCACATTCTTTGTGCAACACACGTGCTTTTCCCTGGCYAAGTGCAACAAGGATTCCCAAAGAATAAAGCAAAGCCTTGCAGAGCCGGCAGCCTGGAGCTCATATTTATATGTATTTATAAGCCTGATTTCCACAGCTGCCAAGTACGTGCAGATGCCACTTTGGTTTGGGTGATCATATGCAGGTTGAAGAGCAAAGCTTTTAGCAGAAGTTCTCAGTCCTCAGTGAAGGCTGCAGAAAAGGAACTGACTCCTATTTGATATTTGTTCACCTTCTGGTGGGAGACAAAGTCAGTGCTCTCCCTTTATTCAGTGGTCGACAATGCCACGTTAAACTTTGGAAAGGATTTTTTGAAGTCCACTCCCCAGTCTGGAAAGATTTAAGGCTGCTTTACAAACTGTCTCTGCCTTCAAATTTTCCTTGCCCAGGATTGTGTCGCTTTATCAAGAAACAAAGGAAGAGGGAAAAAAGGGGGGGCGAGGGGAACACGACAGGCTTTCAAATAGTAGTTTGTGGAATGCAAATTTCCCATTGAAATTACTCCTTATTGGGGAAAATTAAAGTGWTCTTTGCTCCACAATTAATACTAATGCTATGGTTGCATATCATGTCTTGGTAATATCACATGTGAATAAAAGTTTTGACTCTTACCCATTGAAATAGCAAAGATGTAACTGTTTGAGCTTCAACATTACAACAGCTGTTTCTCATGTCCTCAGAAATGATTGGCGTTTAAAATGTGAGAAAATGACAGTGGTTTTATAATTAGTGTCTTTTTAAAGAAAACTGTAACTGCCCTTTGTTAASAAGGTGAGATTTTCAGGTGGGTTGGAGGGACAGCAGTGTAGGCACCTGATTTACCATGATATTAA